AATCTAGTACTTAGTTAATACACAGGTTTTCAAAAGTGTGCTGTGTGTAGAACCAGATTACCAGGAAGGTGTTCTCAGGTTCCTTAAATGTTTGAGGTTTCATTTCTAAATTATATTTTATAATAAAAATGATGCTGTCATAGTCAAAGGTGTTACATGACTGATAACTGGCCTAGTAGAGACTGCCTGTCTTATGCTGCTGGCAGGTTAATTCATTTCAATGCATACCTGTAAATAAGGCTTTTTGCCCTACCATTTTGATACAACAGAATATTTTGCACTGACTTTTGGTAATTTATGGTGGAACACTCTTATTAGTCATCCTCTGTTTGTGAATGTTTTTGTTCTGTAACCCAGTGCAGAAAGAGATTGGGGCTAGAAGGGAGGAATGAATTAACATTTTCCTCTCACAGAGTCCTTTGTGATGGTTTCTCAACTCCCTGTCCAGAGCGAGCGAGGGCTAGCATTGATGGAATTATTCAGTAGGAGCTTTGGAAGGGCCTAAGCAAAGGGGTGATAGTTTGGGAGCTTAGGTTATGAAAATTTGGTTCAGTGCTGTGGGAGAAGAAGCCCTTGCAAACTCCTTGGAGACCCTCTCCCATTCTGCACAGATCCTGACCTGGCACTGTTTCTAGCACCCTTTTAAGGAATGGGTGATTTGAGAACAGCAGCTTGGTGAGTGGGCACCAGCATCCTCTCTAAGTATGGACCAAGTGAAGTTCCTCCCAAAAATGTTGTAAGCGACAGATGTGGCAAGAAGGAGTCCCAGTGAAAAAAGTGCAGAAGTCATGTGAAAGCATGTCCTAGACAGGCGACAGGGATATTTGAAACATGTTACTGTGGAAAGTCCCAGAAAGAACTGGATGCTGAGGTCCTGGTACACCACAGGTGGAGGTACCAAGTCTTACATAAGGTCAGGTGCGGTGGCTCACGCCTGTAATCTCAGCACTTTGGGAGGTCAAGGTGGGTGGAACACCTGAGGTTGGGAGTTCAAGACCAAGTCTTAGATAATTTGGGTCATAGCTATTTAAAGATATCCTAGGATTTAGAGAGGAACCTCAAAAAGCTAGTACCATATGGTGACCACTTGTTTTGAATCAGGGATACTTGAACACTATATAACGAAAACAAGATACAGAAATAAATGGAATGCTGATGGATATGCCACTTTGTGTGGAGGTATATGTGTTCATATGCATTTTGAGATGTATGTGTTCATCAAAACAGCCTTGCTTTTTGATTGAACTTATAATTAAATGCTATACACTTGAACTCAGAGTTTTCTATACGTGAAAGTTGTATGCTGAATGAATAAAAATATTTGTATATTATTTAAGCACACACAACATTTCACTTAATTAAAAAGTTCCAAAGAATGCTGCATGTGGTGTCCTGAGCCTTACTCCCAGCTACTAGGGAGTTTTAAGTGGGAGAATCCCTTGAGCCCAGGAGTTGAGACGAGACTGAGCAATAGAGGGAGACCCACATTCAAAACAAAAACGAAAGCAAACAAAACAGCTCCATTTTGTTCCATTTTAAGTTTGAAAAATACACAAAGAACAACGGAATAAGACCAGAATAGAGAGGCAATTGCATTTTTCACATTTTCTCATTTGAATGTAGTGATTTTCTCTCTGGCTGCCTTCACAGAAACTGATTTGTTAAATAGTATTCCCGGAACACAGAAGCAAACAAAGAACAAAACATAGCTAACATAAGAATGCATCATTGTTCAGAAATAAGATGGTAAAGAATGCACATAGGCCGTACAGGGAAAAAAGAAAAATCTCAAGTAATCGATTGAAAACATAACTAAAGGTTAGCAGTTCTCCCTTCTTTCTTGCTCTCGTTCTGAAAACAGAAAGATTAAATAGATTGATTCAAGCAGATGTGCTTTCAAATGCCAGAAAGGACGCCTCTTCTGGTGCAGTATTGATAAACTGCCTGAGTGTATCACTGGCATTTCAGTTTTACTAGCCCAGAAAGAAGAGGCAGGGAGCAACTTCTACCTCCCTGCCAGCCTGCCCTGGGATTGCTTAGACAATTTCTGCGTGTGTGTGCGCGCGCGGCTCCATACCACTACATGCTGGGTTAAAGGCTTCCTCCTCTGGGCCGCCTTTGAATTCCCTCATCAGCTGAATGGGAGACACTGCCTATGACCAGCTGAACTTCATTATTTAGTTTCCTGCGGTATTGTATCAGGAGAGCAACTACCTAGAAATGCTTTATGCCCACACCCCTATTTTCTTGGTAGGGGATTTATAGGCCTATTCGGCATAATTGTACTGTGGTGGAGCAGCATCACCATCCTGTATCTTCAAACAAACAGCTACCCTGCTGCCACTGATCAGCATTCCTGGGAGGGCGGTGATTGAAATTTAGCACTGAGAGCCACTTAATTGGCACATGGATCTGTTGAGCATATGCCCCCACCACAGGCATGCCATCTGATGTGCCTGTAGGGTGCCCCGCACCTCACACATGCTCACCTTTTGCTAAAGAAGCAAGTTTTGAACAGGACCTGGAAGGAAGGAAGGAAGCTGTGCTGTAGTTCAGGGGAGGGGTGAGTGGCCTTAGAGGACAGGTACTCGGGGATCTCTGCCTGTTTGTAAGTTACTGTAGTTTTTTTCTTCCTTGAACTCAGAACAAACCTAAGGTCAGGGAGTTCCAGTTTGCTTGCTGTGAAATTAAAACAAGTTAAAAATGTGTTCACTGTTGCTTGTCCCTTCAGTAAATCAAATGCTGTGCTAGTAGAGTAGAACTTGGAAGGATTCAGCATTCCTCAGCAGTTTACAACCCTGGAATTTGACGTTAGAATGTGCTCTGCTCACTGTAGCTAGAACTGATCCCTTGGCCTTTAGAGAAGGATCCAGGAAATCATGTCAACATTTTTCTGCTGAGTTGGAAACAGCTGGGTTGGGCCAAATGTTCTAGGTTATGAGTACCAGGAGGAAAATATGAACTTTGGCAGAAAACTGAGCAAACTCATTATGTTTTTCCCTTACGTAACAAGAGCAAGGAAAAGGTGGAGAAATCAGTGGTTAGGAACCCACTGCTCTTTGGAATCTTCCCCAAGTGTCCTTGGGCTCCTGTATTTCTTTTTTTCTTTTTCTTTTTTTTTTTGAACAGAGTCTCACTGTTGCCCAGGCTGAAGTGCAGTGGCGTGATCCCAGTTCACTGCAGCCTCTGCCTCCTGAATTCAAGCAGTTCTCCTGTCTCAGTCACCCCAGTAGCTGGGACTATATGTGAGTGCTGCCATGCCTGGCCAATTTTTTTTTTAATTTTTTATTTTTAGTAGATATTGGGTTTCACTGTGTTCCCCAGGCTGGTCTCAAACTCATGAGCTCAGGCAATCTGCCCACATTGGCCTCCCAAAGTGCTGGGATTACAAGTGTGAGCCACCGCGCCCGGTCAGGCCTCCTGTATTTCAAGTAACCAAGTGGACTCTGTTCATTGCTGCAGACACCAAAAGAAGCTGTCTTCTGGAGCAGCTGTGATGGGAAGAGTTTTGATGTGACTGAGAAAGGGTGTAGAGCTCTTTATCAACTTCCCTTTTCTTTGATGAGTGCTTCTGTCCCAACCAGATCACGGACTCATAGACTGAATCTGTATTCCTTTGTGTTCTCTTCTGGCATTGGGCAAAAATCCTGGGGTCCTAATAAATGTTTAATAAATGTTTGTTGAATTCTGAAAGGAGGAAATAAATAGTTTAGGCCCTTCTGGGTAAAGTTGGAAATAGTGCTGCTTTCGATTTCAGAGGAGGATTTGCTGTGAAGTGAATATAGCTTACATTTATCATTCCACCATTCTACAGCTGCTTTCCTGAGACATGTTCCTAATTTTTGATTTTATGGAGGGTTCTGTAAGAAACAGAATACACGGTAATTATCTGGACCCCATGAAACATAGATTTGCTCCTGTTAAAATGCTCTTGGTTAGTCCTGCCAACGTGGCTTCTGTTTAATGGCTTTCCTAGAAATTGGAAGTCAGATCAAAGTTAAAACGAGGCTCACACAGGGCAAAAGGAGGGAACTAACATTTAAGAACCCCATGCTAACTGATATGTAATTTGTATTTATTTCCTAATTTAACTTCAAACAGCAGTTCTTTCTGGGAGAGAAGGAACTTTACTCTTCATCCCCCTTAATAAATGGGCATACTGACATTCTTTCAAAGAATTCTTTGCATTAATAGCATTAAATGTTGATGCTATTTCCCAAAAAGAAATATTATTTCCCAGCCGGGTGCGGTGGCTCACGCCTGTTAATCCCAGCACTTTGGGAGGCTGAGGCAGGTGGATCACGAGGTCAGGAGGTTGAGACCATCCTGGCCAGCTTGGTGAAACCCCATCTCTACTAAAATACAAAAAATTATCCGGGCATGGTGGTGCATGCCTGTAGTCACAGCTACTGGGGAGGCTGAGGCAGGGCAATCTCTTGAACCCTGTGAGGGCGGGTGTGGGGGAGAAGAAAGAAATGCTGTTTCCCAAAAAGAATTCAAAGAATTTTTTGAAAGAATGTTAGTATTTCTGACTTTCAAAGACACGATTAAGAGCCGTGCTATCTCCCAAAAAGACAATGGTTGGGCACATTGGGTAACCTGCTCAATGCGCCCAGCTGCTAGGACTGGACACTAATCATTGACCTTTCTCTCTCCCAGGCATCTGCTCAGTGAGTACCTGAGTGGTGTGCGTATTTGGCAGCTCTTCGAGCCTTCCCTAAAAGCGTTAAACTCACTAGGGAAAGAAATGCCTGGAGGGGCAGGTAACCCTTGCTGCAGGCTGACAGGGAGAAAGGTGGGGAGAGGACAGACCTAAGCAGTTCAGTGAAAGGCAGAAAGGCACGCCAACCCTTCCCTAGTCAGTGCAGCAAATGCTGTAACAATTCATTCAATTATGTTAAGCGCCCATTAAAGGAATCCTAAGCCCTCCCTTGGGCGATTTCAGTTCTAAGAGATTGTAATTTTTTGAGACTAACCATGATTTCTTCTTTTGCCTTCAGGTGATTCTCATTTTGACAAAGCTCTATGACTATAACCTGGGGAGCATCACCGAGAGCTCACTTTGGAGGTAGGTAGATAAATGGAGCTAATAATTACCCTGTTATTTAATCATGATGCCTCCTACTGCTCTGCCGCCCACTTTTTCCGGATAGGAAGGTTCCTGGTATTGTGCACTCCTCTCTCTTTCTTCTGTTTTAGGGATGCTTTGGGCTTTATCTCCAGGAAGCCCAGAGCTTTACCGTCTTTATAGACCCCTTCTTTTAGTCAGCCAGATTCTTTTGCTAACCTGTACAATAGATTGTGTATGCATTTTGGTTTCCACTGTCTCACTGACCTGTGAGTTTATTGGAGCAAAAGTGAGGGTGGAAGTCTCTTTGCAGAAGGGATCAGCACACCCTCTGGGTCTGCAGAGTGAGGCCCATTACCAGGGCAACATTCTTTTACTAACTTCCCTTCCATGGTGGTCCTGCAGCTCACCAGCAGCACAGGCATGCATACCCACACTCGTGTATACCCTTAGCTTAGGGATTCATACTGTATGGCTTCACACATAGAGAGTATGGCAATGATACAGGATTTTTTTCAGTGCCTCTTTGCCATCTAGAGACCTCTGCAGCCGGCAGTGCCTCTGCTCGAGCTTTGCTTGTGCCCTCTGGGCTTGCTCTGCCCTCTTGGTCCATCAGGCTGCACTCAGCTCACATTACTGGTGCATATATCATGCCCCCCAAGGGTAAGCCAGGAGCACCGGCTGCTGTGGTGCGGTGGTCAGCTCCAGGCACTGGCTCTGTGCAAGGCTGTGGCTGAACCACTTGCACAGCCAGGGGCTTCCATCTTGGGCGCTGGCGTCTGGATGAGCGGAATGCGGTGGTGCTCTAAAAACTCGGAAACACCAGCAACCAGGGAACCCCAAAAAGTGTGTTACAACATGGCACAGCCCTGGCTTGGGGGGCCCTGAGGTCTGGACCCCCAGAAGGGTCACAGCCTTTCTCTTCTTCCCACCACCCACAGAGCAGCAAATGGAGTGGGGGTGGGTTTCCACTTGTACGAGTTATAGCTCGTCCAGTCCCACTGCTCTGCTCCAGCCTGTGGCTCATAGGCAGGCCTGGCCCCCTTGCCATTTCCTATGGTGTGGGGCAGCCATCTGATGTCAGCAGAAGACAGGAAAGCTATAGTGTTATGCTCCTTTCTCACTTGCTGTTTGGCGGATCCCAGGTGCTTGTCCTGCGTCCAAGAAGAATGAGGTTATACGGACAACTGGAGAGTAATCAAGGCAGAGAAAATTTATTGAGTGACAGAACAGCTCTCAGTGGAGAGGGGACCCGAAATGGGTAGTCCCAGCCAGAAGGCAGGTAGTCCCAACCAGAAAGCGGGTAGACCCAATGTGTCACTGAGGCCGGAATTTTTATAGGTTCTAAATGGGGAAGGTGCAGGCCATAGGTAGAAAGAACAAATATGTATCGGGTTTATGAGGAGTTTCCCATCCATGATTTTAGATCCTTGGTAGCCCAGGTGCCCAGTCATGCTGGTATTCAAGGAGCTCCTCTATGCTAAGGAATTTATACCTATTCATTTGAAAAATTATTAATTGTGATAGTGGTAGATGACAGACAAATTCCTAGGCAGATAGAGGCAAGTCTGGTGAAAACCAACGCTCAAGCCTCAAGACAGCCTGAAGTCTGAAAACCAAGCTGCCAGATCTGGGTGAAGTCCCTAGTTACAGGGATGTAACTGAAAGTATGGGAAGCTTGATAGGGGTCTTAATGAAAGTGTAATTTTTTAGTGCATTAAAGAGCCAGCACCTACCATATTGCTTCAATTCTGTAATCCTTCATCAGAATCTCTGTGACTCTGAGCAACTTCATACTTCCCTGATAGATTTCTCTAATGGATCTCCATGTATAAGAGTAAAAGCCAACTTCTTTACCTGCTGTGGACCTGTCTTGTAAAGTGTAGTCTACATATTAGAAATTTAACAGATAATGCAGTTTTGTCTCAGTGAGACAGAGGCTTTCAGCAACCACAGCTCTCTACCCGCACAGTGGTAAGAGCATGCTTGAGGGGCCTGAGGAGCAGATTGCCTTAGACTGTGGAAGCTCAGGTTCAGTATGTTTTTCTCTCCATGATGGGGCATTGCTCTTGATGGCCCAGTCTAGGAAAAATGTCCTTTTGAAACTTAATGGAAAGGGGTAATTTAAAAAAACAGTGGCTGGGCAGGGTGACTCACACCTGTAATCTCAGAACTTTGGGATGCTAAGGCGGGCAGATTATGAGGTCAGGAGTTAGAGACCAGCCTGGCCAACATAGTGAAATCCAGTCTCTATTAAAAATACAAAAAAAAAAAAAAAAATTACCTGGGCGTAGTGGTGCATGCCTGTAATCCCAGCCACTCAGGAGGCTGAGGCAGGAGAATTACTTGAACCTGCGAGGTGGAGGTTGCGGTGATCTGAGTTTGTGCCACTGCACTCCAGCCCATGTGACAGTGAGAGACTCCATGTCAAAAAAAAAAAAAGCATCACATTCCGTTAGTATCAGGCTTCCCTTCTGGAGGCACAGTCTACTTGGGTAAAGTCTAGGAAAGTGTGGCCAGAATGACCTGCATGCTTCTCAATGTTAAGATCAGTTTCACTGCAGGATGTATACTGTCATGAACTGCATAATGACATTTTAGTCAATGACAGTGTACACAATAGTGGTCCCATAAAATTACACTGTGTTGTTCCTGTACCTCTTTTATGTTTAGATAAATTTAGATACACAAGTACCATGATGTTATAATTGCCCTACAGGATTCAGCACAGTAACATCCTGTACAGATTTGCAGCCTTGAAACAATAGGGTAGACCTTACAGCCTAGATATTTAGTATGCCATACCTTCTGGGTTTGTGTAACTATACTCTATCATCTTCACACAATGAGAAACTCACCAAAGGTCATGTTTCTCAGAATGTATCCACCCCATCAAGTGATACATGACTGTACCTATACATATAGTCAGCCTTCCCTATCTATGGGTTTTACATCTGAATTCAACCCATCTTGGATCAAATGTGTTGGGGGAAAAAAGTTAAAAATAACAACACTGTCACGAATACAAGTAAAAACTACAGTACAACAACTATTTACCTAATATTTATATTGTATGTGGTGTTACATGTAATCTAGAAATGATTTAAAATATACTAGGAGGGCTGGGCGTGGTGGCTCACGCCTGTAATCTCAGCACTTTGGGAGGCTGAGGCAGGTGGATCACGAGGTCAAGATATCAAGACCATCCTGGCCACCATGGTGAAATCACGTCTCTACTAAAAAATGCAAAAATTAGCTGGGCATGGTGGTGTGCACGTCTAGTCCCAGCTACTCAGGAGGCTGAGGCAGGAGAATTGCTTGAACCCAGGAGGCATAGGTTGCAGTGAGCCGAGATCGCACCACTGCACTCCAGTCTGGTGCCTGGTGACACAGCAAGACTCTGTCTGGAAAAAAAATATATATATATGTACACACACACACACACACACACACACACACACACACACACTAGGGAGAAGGTCAGTAAGTCATATACAAATACTACACCATCTTCTATCAGGAATTTGAGCATCTATGGATTTTAGTATTCATGGGTGGTTCTGGAAACAATCCCCTCCAGATATTGAGAGATGGCCATGTACACACACAAACACACACACGCGCAGTACCCATAGATACATAGTATACTTTTAAAATATATCCAAAATAGTTATTTGCCATATGTCACATGCTGGGATGGCTACTGGAAGTATGTGATATATTAAAAACTGGTCATTTTATTTATTTATTTTAAATTAGTATTTGAGATGGCATCTTACTCTGTCACCCAGGCTGGAGTGCAGTGGCACGATCAGAGATTCCTGCAGCCTCAAATTCCCAGTTGGAAATGACCCTCCCACCTCATCCTCCCAAGTAGCAGGGACTACAAATATTTGTCACTACCCCAGGCTAATTTTTTTTAGTTATTATTTTTTGTAGAGACAGAGTCCCACTTTGTTGCTTACACTGGTCTTGAGGTCCTAGGTTTAAGCAACCCTCCCACCTCAGCCTCACAAACTTTTGAGATTATAGCATGAGCCACTACACCTGGTCATTTTAGTAGTTTAACACAAATGGCAGGTACCTTACTCAAAATGTAATTTAGAAAAGAGAAAACAAGAGGGAAATTATGTATAATACTTCATATTATAACATCATATATGATGCTTCATATATAATACCTTGGTAAGACTTTTGAACAGCTCACAGTGTCCACACTCAGTGTTTAGGGAACCTCCATAGGTATGTTAATACAGAAGAGGAGTGGGAGAGGCCTGGATGGGTGGAGGTCAGTGGTCAGGAAGAAAAAGCCTCATGGTTCTGAGTTGTCTGGCGAAGCCTTACTTGAGGGAAATAGATGGTCTAGCACAAACTGACTTTCTCCTGCACTGGCTCATACAGTTACCAAAACACCAGGGACCCAGTGTCTGACCCAGTGTCAGACCTGCTGCTCACTGCACAGAAAGCCAATCACCGAGACAACAATTATTGCCAAGGAAGAAGGCTTTAACCAGGGCTGGAGCTGAGGAGATGGGAGATCGGTGTCAAATCCATCTCCCTGACTCACTAAAGTTAGGTATGGGTTTAATATAGCGGGGAAGAAATATGACAATGTGTTGGAAAACAGGAACTAGGGAAGGGTAAGGAAACAAAATGAGGGGTCTGGCATCTCATTGTTGGCATGCAATGAGCTGGTGAGTTTTAGTTCTTTGATACTTTTTGAGAGATTTCCAGGTCTTTTCCTGAGGAATGAACTCAGATGAAACAAATGTTATGTTTCAAGCTTTAAGACAGGAAGGGTCAGTTCCTATGTTTATCCAAAGAAGTGTCTATAGGGCTATTGAGGTGGTTTCAATACTTATGCTCAGAAAATCTGCCTATGCCAAAAATTGGGGACTGTGACTTCAGACAAGTTCTGGACATCTGTAGGGTACCCATGGCCCTGAGTATGGGACTTAGAATATAGCTAGTGCTCAGTAACTCTGTTTTTAAACAGCAGT